CTATCTTTACTCTTATGACAATAAAAACAAGCCATTGTTCTCCACTAACAGACCTCTATGAGGACACCTGCTGAGGACTCCTTGATTCTTAGACTCTTTCTCTGACAGACTTATCATACCAGTGAAGACCATCACTAAGTTTCTAACCCATTATTTAGGTTTTCTTTTCTAACCATCTCCCATCCGCCTTCCCCAAACCAAACCTGTTGCTGAGGGTTAACTATAGGAAAGAAGAGAATTATCTCATAGGATTTCCTAGGCTATGATTTTTATAGGAGTGGGTTGTTTCTCCTTCCAAGCAGCAGGTGGGTTTGAACCACCAACTTTCCTATTCACAGGCCAAATGTTTTAAGCTTGTGTCCTCAGGGTCTTTATATAATGCATGACAATGAACTTCATATTCCCTTTCTATCCTTTCCTTTGTAATGAATTGTTACCTATCTTAGAAGTCTCCTTATTGAGTTAGGCTTTGAGTCATTGAAAATGGAAATAAGCCAATTCAAGAAACAATTACTACGTTATGTGAAGGAGCCTTGGTTGCATAGTAGGTTGCATGTTGGGCCCCTGATTTCAAGGCAGCCATTGAAACCAACACGGCTCTGTAGGAAGAAGATGAGATTCTGTTCTCCCACCTCAGACCCTTAGTGCAGTTCCACTCCATCTCTGAGGGTCACTCTCAATTGGAATAACTAGCTCTCTTTACTTGCTGATTCCTTAGGCTGTATATAAAAGGGTTCATCATGGGGGCTACTGAAATGTTGAGCACAGCTACTGCCTTGCTCAAAGGCATCCTGTCTTTGGCTGATGGATTAATATACACGAAAATGCAACTGGTATAGGAGATGGAGATGACGATTACGTGGGAAGAACATGTGGAAAAGGCCTTTGTCCTCTGACTATTTGAAGGCATTCTCAAAATTATTCTGACGATAGATATGTAAGACAAAATTATTAATGTCAAAGTCAACAGAAGAATAAATGCAGCCAAGTAGAAACCAGCTAACTCTAGGAATTTGGTGTCTGAACAAGAAAGACGTAATAAGGGGGAAAAATCACAAGTAAAATGCTCAATAACATTGGACTTACAGTAAACAAGCTGTGTGCACAATATAACAACTGGTAATATGACTGAAAATGTAGACAACCAAGAAGCAAAGACAAGCAGTATGCAGACTCTATGATTCATGATGGTCATGTAATGCAGGGGTTTGCAGATGGCCACATACCTGTCATAGGACATGACGGTCAATAGGTTAAACTCT